GACCACAACAGAACACAGAATCTTGTTTTACTGTGCCTACATTTCAACATATTCACACTGGTTGAGGTAATAATAATTATAATTCTTGATCATTTCTATCATCCTTGTGCATAGTACATAAAAATACATACTATCTTCTCTATGAGAACAGACATTTTATGGTAAAGGTTAGGACATAACTCTTAGTAACTTGCATTCACAAAAAGCATTGCTTTCTGATGGATTGCTGGATGCTTTCACTAAAAACAAATATTTCAACTTAAAATTATAGTTATATTTTGAGTTATATAATAGTTGTATAATCATAGTTGTATAATAAAATTGGCTGTACAGGTCATTTCATCTTAAATTATATTAAATTCAATTGACTTGGAAAATCCAGTTGAATCTCATATAACTATATAGAAATATCTCATATAAAAAAAAGTTGAAATTGTTGAAATTATTTTTAAGTAAAAGTAATGTAAAAACATGTGTTGCCATGAATTATTGATCATATATATATATATATATATATATATATATATATATATATATATATATAAGTAAAAGTAATGTAAAAACATATGTTGCCATGAATTATTGATCATATATATAAATATATATATATTTTAATGTGTTTTTTTTACAGTGTACAAAAATTGATTAAAATTTAAATTCAGACAAAATACAATGTCTTGCAGATGTTTGGAGACCTTTATTTCATTTTCTCATTTCACTGAGTTATAAATCCTACATCCGTAAATAGTGGTGCATGGATTTACAATTAGATTAAGATCAGGGGGCTCTGTGAGAGCGAGTCCTTCACCCATGTCCTTCACCCATGTCCCTCCCCTACCCCCCTTCCCCTCCCCTTTCCTTTATTATTTTTTTCCTTGCTCAATTTTTCACTGCCCCTGGCAACCGGAGTCACTTTGATCACTATTCCTCCTCAGTCCTTACGTCAGATCCCTTCATGCCTCCCAGTACCCTCCTTACATTTCACATCCCCATCCTTCCAATCTCTCCACGCCACAAAGTGATCAACCGTCGTCGCTCCATTCCCTCCAACTTAATTCACCTTTCCCCTTCAGCAAAACCTCCCCTTCCTTATCACCTGACCTCCCAAATCCCTGAACCTCCCCCCATCCCGCCTTAATCAAACTGGGACTCTGGAACGCACGCTCAGTCTGCAATAAATCCGCAGCTACCTTAGATGCCTTCCTATCCTTCCACTTTGATGTCCTTGAGCTCACTGAAACTTCGGGACATAGCCATGACTCGGTTTGAGGATGACTTTAGAGTCATTCGGGCCAAACTCAAGGCACGCTGCGCTAACAGATAGCGCGTGTAAGTCCCCCACACGTTTAACTGATGACAGAGACAAAAGAAAAACGGTTTTGAGCGAGAGGTATTTTAGATTCGTTGAATCTAATGGTTGGAAGGGATGCATCTTTAGGGCCTCTAGGACCACAGAGAGATCCCAAATAGGAACCGAAGGTGGGCGTGGAGGGTTCATCCTTCTGGCTCCTCTCAAGAAGCGGATGACCAGCTCGTTCCTTCCCAGCGACCGGCCTTGCTTCGACTCAGCGAAGGCTGCGACGGCCGCCACGTATACTTTGAGCGTGGATGGGGACCTGCCCTTATCCAGCAGCTCTTGAAGGAAACCGAGCACCTGCGAAACCTCACCCGTTCTGGGGTCCAGATTTTTGTCGGTGCACCATTTGGAGAACAAAGACCATTTAGACGCATATAGCCGTCTCGTAGAGGAGGCTCTAGATTGCGTGATCGTGTTCATAACTCCTTCTGGCAGGATAACGGGTATCCGTTGATCAACCACACGTGCAGAGACCATCGCTCTGGGTGGGGATCCCAGATCGAGCCGCAGGCCCCTCCTCACCGGAATCGGCCACAGGGCTGTGTGTGACAGCCGTGTTAGTTCCGGGAACCAGGTTTGGTTCTCCCATCGCGGGGCTATGAGGAGCACCGGGCTGTGCGATTCCCTGATTCTCTTGATTACCTGTGGTAACATAGAGATTGGAGGGAAGGCATATAGCGGGCGGCTGGGCCAGAGTTGGGCCAGCGCATCCTCGTTCTTTGAAAAGAACACTGGGCAATGAGCGTTGTCCTTTGACGTTAATAGGTCGACTTCCGCTCCCCGGGGGGAATATTGTCCCTGGACAATCTGTCTGGTCCTTCGTTCAGTATCCCTGGCACGTGCGTCGCAGAGGCTCCTGGATCTGACACCGCCCTGGCGGTTCACGTAGGACACAACCGACATGTTGTACGAGCGGACTAGAACGTGTTGGTCCTGTATGAATGGGAGGAAGCGCTTCAGCACGTTCTCGACCGCCAGGATCTCCAGACAGTGTATGTGAAGGCATTTCTCTCGGTCTGACCACAGGCCAAAGACCGGTCTGCCCTCGAAAAGGCCGCCCCAACCTGAGTTGGAAGATGATTTGTCGAGATGATTTTTCGGTGGGAAATCGCTCCCATTGTCACCCCCTGCTGGTACCAATTGGCTGTTAACCAGGCAAAATCTCAGATCTAATATAGGCCTCAGGCCTCCGTCCTTCATCGGTACGAGAAAATAACGGCTGTAAAAGCCTGACTCGCTCAGAGAAGGCGGCACCGTTTCTATAGCTCCTTTGCACAGCAGTTTGGCTATTTCTGCGCGGAGTAGATGTGCTACTTTCGCGCTCACTGTCGACTCGGTCCGAGCGTGAAAACGCGGGGGACGGCGAGCGAACTGTAGTGCATAGCCCTGTCTTATTGTGCTTAGCACCCACTCTGAAACCCCTGGAATGGCTTCCCATGCTTGTGCATGTGTGGCCAGGGTATGGAGGCAATGGCCTCCGGGTTCCGGTCGCCGCACATTATGGGCTTCGGGAACTGAAACGGAGATGTGGGCGCGGCGCGTGCGCCCTCGGTGCTTGAATGAAGCGGCTCGCTGACAGCCGCTTTGGGCTGGTTCGCACGTAACGACCCGATTACATTGAATGGGGAGCGTTTTACAATGGCTTTCTGAAGCGCGAGCGGCGCTTGAGGCGGAGCGACTGATAGTACGCGCTCGTGAGCGAGCTCCTAGCATACATTCGCAGTCTGACCGGTATGAGTGCTTAAACACGGCGGCTCGCTGACAGCGATGGCACGCTGTTTCATATGTGACGTCCCGGTTACTTTGAGCGGGGAACGTTTTATGAGAGCTTTGTAGCGAGTGAGCGGTGCCGGAGACGAGGCATTTATTAGCAAGCGTGAGCGCGGAGAAAGGTGCATTCCACGATTTAGAGAGTTTGGCGTGGAGCTCCGGCAGAAAAGGAGCAGGCCTTGAAGCCAGACGAGCCCGCAGGGTCGCTATAGCAGCTCTTCGCAGTGGATGCAGCCGCCTGACGAAAGTGCGAGGGCTGCGTGGTCCTGGCCCAGGCAGAGAGCGCAGATCACGTGGTGGTCTCCGGCGCTGAGCGGGGCTCGGCACGAGCCACAGGACGTGCGAGGCATTGTTAAAAGAGAGTAAGAGTTTTACTCTTTTTAGTAAAAGCGTGTGTCGCAGCGGCGAGCACACACAGACAAAGTAAAACAGTGACAAAGAGCAGTAAAGGATATTTGTCGCCGGATAGCGTTGCTGGCACGGAAGGCTGAAGGCGGCGAGAAGTCGACCGGCTTCCTCAGGCGCTTTCCTCTGCTGGCAGTCGCTGGTTTCTACGGCGGTGGCTTCTCTCGGATCCAGCGGAATGAAGAGCTTCGCTGAAGAGATGAAAATCAGGGAAGCAGCCTCTGAGCCCCGCTTTTATACGCTAAGCCACACCCCCTTGCGCGGGCTGTGACGCGTAGTGGGCGCGAAGCGCCACCATTGGGCGTGACGTCACGCCAGGCTCACTGGTAGGCTGCTGCAGTTGCCGCAAGGCAGCCAATGAGCACGCTAGACAGCCTGCTCTAAGTCTGCAGCTGCTGCACTGCGTTGACAATATATACAAAATTAACGATAATTTTGGCTTCAATATCTCGAGCAAAGATGAACTTTACCCGTGGCGTAAGCTAAACTTACGCAATACGAGAGAACCTCTCGTAAGAGAACCTGAACAGCACACGTTGCTATATCTGTGTTTAAACTTCCAATCTGCCAATTTAAACATTCAAGCGCAAGACACGAAAGAGACACGCGTGCACGCTATGAGAAGATTTGTTTGTGCACTAATCCAAAAAATCATAGTTTTCAGGCACATTCAGGCATATGTGCTTGAAAACTATGATAGGCCTACCTGAAAAACCTGAAAACGATTGTATTTATTTGTGCTGTTGTTGCTTATAGTTGTATTATTGTTCTTATTTTTTAAAAAAAAATTTACAGTAGTCCTTTATTCCCTGAACACAGCACATTCCAAACCATACCGAAACCGTGATAAAACTGAACCATTAGTAATTTGAACCGTTACAGCCCTAATTTCTACATGGATCTAACTTTGTCATTCACATTCACGACAGAAAATTACAACAAAATCAGAAGCACATAATTATATTGTAGCAATGTAGCATTAATTGGAATAGACAAACCTGATAATTAGGGAGTGTCCACATACTTTTCGCCATTTCATTTATTAATGAGTGGGCCATGTGCATTGAATTTCTGGCTTGACCTTCGATTGTTTTAGTTATCTTCTTAATTAGCCTACTTAATTGGATTTAATATTAAGAGATTGACATTAAAATATTTCTTGGCAGTTTAAAAACAAATTATATCACAAAAAATGTCTTTGTATGTAGGAAGTATTTTTTCTTTCCTCAAAGGGTCACATGAGAACTACTTTTTTCAACTTTGAAATTAACTTAACGTTTGTCTTATTATAAAAAAAAAAAAAAAGCATTTGTCTATAGTTATTCCACAAACGTCATGAGTTGTTTTTACAAGCTTTTAGTTCACCTTAATGCAATCATTGGACTATACATAAAAACACACGAGAAGCAAGAGAAGCATAATTACGAGATAAATACATTCATTGTAGTTGGTTGTCCCTCGGTCATCCCAGGACTCTCGTTCTCTCTCCATTGATCCGTCGAGGCGTGCCAGTGTGTTCATGTGATGCAGGAAGGATGCGTCCTAAAAGAGCTTGTATCGAGCCAAACTGCATCACTTCTGAGTCCAACCACCGCTCAGCACTCATCTTTGGATATCCTCCCTTTCGCTTTGCAGTTACATTGGGTGAAAGGGAAGAAAGCGAAGAGAAGGATTGTGAAATGGGAGCTACGGCATCATCCAGCAGCAGATGCGAGGAGGACGAGGCGGAGGAACTCACTGTCACTGCAGCAGCGAGCGAGGCTCAGGGTGACGGCAGAGCCGATGACAAGGTAGAATATATGAAATCTCCTGCTTGCAGAGAAATGCTTCACAAACTTTCAAAGGCACGATTTCTGAATCTAAGGACACGCACGGGCTGCATCTCAAAACATAGCGAGCTGCCTATATAGCATTTTTGTGGAAATGCAGACCATGCATATGATGTTAAGAATGTTTGATAGGTAGACAGAGGATCAAATTATTGCTCAGTGTTTGCTCTTTTTTTTTAGCTCGGGAGAAGAGATTTCTCAGTTATGTTTTATCCTTGTTTCTCCTTGAGGGATACATAAAATACACTCAAATCTGAGACATTTGTTGACAGTATAGAGACATCAAATTAATGGGGATAGCAGTTAATTTAGTCTTGATCATTCAATGAGAAATGTGTCTTCATATATGAGTTTTGATTGCAGTCTTTGGTGTTTTGGCAAATTTGAGCACAGTTTGAGACATTGTTGACATCTTTTCTGAAACCAGTGGACACATGTGACATTGCTTTTCTCATAAGAAAATTTTGAGACTGAAGCTATAATCTCCATTTGATCTCAATCTCATTGCTGTTTTGAAGAAACATCTGATATCACACACACACATATATATATATATGCTGTATATAGGCTATATATAAACACACATACTGTATAACATGATCTTTCTTACGGGGAAGCAGCTCACTAGATTTTCAGATAGCCCTCTGAAATAAGTTATATTATAATGAGTGTTTTGCTTTATGTTATAAATGTATTATTTATGGGGGGGGGGGGGTGGTCAAAATAAATGTCAAAAAAATAAATGACAAAATAAATTACACAAATCCAATATCCTCATTTGCAGCTATTTAACTGCAGTAAGTCAAAAGTTGAAAGGAAGAAGATTAGGTGACTTTGTCCTATTTATAGGTGTTTGGCCTAAATACACTTTAGTGAACAAAATTTGCATTAGGTCATGGTAGTTCAGATTAGATAGTTTATCTTAGTTTTTAAGAGAGAAAATTCTATTGTGGCTGGTTTTTTACTTTCAAGAAAGACATTGAGGAAGAATCTGTCATCTTGTGGCATGAGAACTGCAGGAGTAGACATATTTGGGTAAAATCACACACATGTACAAATCATCTGCCAAGTGCCAACAATAATACAGTAACCCTAATAATTGATGCTTCCCCAATGGCTTTCGAAGGATATGGTAAATTATTTTACACCCAGACTCTAAACTTTAAATTAGATTTAAAAGTATTTAATCACTACTACACTGCTTCTTATCATGTGGATTGAATTACTGGTTTGGCCTTTGATGTTTTTTTTCTTGTTCATCTGAATTATTGTATTGTATTAAATGTGTAGGTTAAGAATTTAAAATGCAATTTCCTTTTGTTTTTTGAAAGACGGTTTATTTCAACATGTCAGTTGTTTTGGACTAATGTGTGCACATTAATGGATAGGGATATTTGTAGTGCTCTTATTCCCAAAGGATTGATGGAATTTTCCCTTACTGTACTGGGTGCATTGATTTTCCATGTAAAACATGATGAGGTCAGCCATGGTTTAACAGGAAGTCTGTGAAATGGCTTTTAGTCAAAGGAGAGCTATCTGATACTCGGATTCCATGAATGTGTTCATTTATTTTGTTTTGTTAGTTATCCCAAGGGACCTCTCCTTCAAACTACATTGTGATTAGGTGGTTAACATTAAGCAAATGTATTCAAATGATATTGTGATAACCTTTGAAAAATGTTTGGGGAATTTCTTAACTTCAATCTGTCACCATATACAGTACTAATTTATTTATTTATTTTTTGGCCTGACTGAGCCAACTGATTTTAACCATAACCTTTTGAGTATGTTATTGTTCATTATTCATTATCTTACTATATACTTTGAGACAATATACATTTATAGCAAAATTTTGTATTATTTTAGTTTGTGTAATGTTTGTACAATGCAAATTAACATTATTTATTGTTCCTTTATGAGTCATAAGGACAGATAGCTAAATCCATTGTTTACCTTGTTGGTCACTCCTTAATTTGTACTGTCTTTTGCTTAGTTGTTACAGAAAAATGGACAGATCTCCAATTTGAATGTAAAGACAAGGAGCCATGCAGATGAATTAAATGGGCACTTTGAGGAAAGAGTACTTGCAGATGGTAGGTGGTACTATGTTATTGCTATTCTCCCTCATTGTTTCCAATTTGAAATGAAAACAGCGCTTATATAGTAGTAAATATCCAAGCACAAATACTTCATACACACACACACACACATATATAGCATACATACTCAACTTTCTTGAACTTTCTTTCTTTATATTTTGTTAGTTGGCTCAGGGTTTGTCACTCTGAAAGAAGATGGCACAGAAACAACTGAAGACCTTCAGGAAATGGATGCTCTTCAACCAAACATTAAGAATGAGAGCACAGAGATGGTCAATGGGGATGGTGAAGAACCTAAGGAGGACAACCAAGTGAATGATATCAATGAAGTTGGCTTCAAAAAAATCTTCAGATTTGTTGGATTTAAGTTTACCCTAAAAAAAGACACATGTGAAAAGACTGAAGCAAATGAGCAAGAAGAAAGAGTTGCAAGTCCCTCAGATGACTCCAATGACACTCAAGAGAACAGTGCAGTGGCAGCAAATGAAAACACGACTGACGAGACTCACAAAAGTGAGGCGTTTTCCCAGCCTGATGCAGCAGAACCCTTTCAACAAACAGACAATGAAACGGAGCTGGATCCGGACATAAAGTTAGTGGAACATCATGTGGAGGACACACCTGATAAAGAAATGGCAAAAGAAAGTCCTGAGCCGGAGGAACAAATGTCACCAATCAAGCAATTCTTTACACAGGGTATCTTTGCCAGTTTAAGAAAAAGAAAGAAAGAAGAGGAAATACAGAAAGAGAGTAAGGAAGAGGAACTCAAAAGAATCGAGAAAATTGATGCAGAGGAGGCTGAACGTGAGGACAGTAAATGCATGTGTCTTGATATCCCTTATATTTTATCAGAGGAAGAAAAAGATGCAGTGGAGAAAGCCGATGACACGTTGTTACCTGAAGGAGAGCTTCTGAATTTTCTAGAGAAAGATAAGGTACAAGGAAGTCCACTTAAAAGACTTTTTAGGAAATTTTCCACAAGAAAGCAGAGAGAAAGTAAAGCTGCAGAAAAGATGATCGAGGCAGAGGAACAAGTCTCTGAACAGCCAAAGCCATTCTTGGAATTGACAGAGCAAGGGAAAGTCGAGGAATCAGTGATTGGGGAACCAAAACCTGCTGAAGAGGAGCTGGTTGCTGATGTAAGCCCTCAAGAGTCCAAAAAGAAATCTGACACCACCGTTTCCTGGGAGGCACTGATTTGTGGTGGCTCCTCTAAAAAAAGGGCTAGAAAAACAAATGAGAATGAAACGGCAGACAAAGGAGAAGAAAATGAGAAAACAACTGACTCTCCACTTGGAAGTTCATTTGAGGGTGATTATGATAATCTCACATCATCTAATGAACAAACAGGAAGTCCTGCAGAGGGAGAAATGGGATCCACATGGAAAATGTTTAAAAAAATGGTCACCCCAAAGAGAAAGGTCAGAACTGGAGAAAGTAGTACCCCTGAGCAGATACCTTCAGACAGTGAGATGAACAAAGACGATTCATTTTCTACGAAGAAACTTATTCCAGGGCATAAAAAAAGAAAATCTGAAGCAAGGCAAGAACAAACGTCCTCCGATGAGGCTGCTAAGGATAACGAAACAGATGATGAAGATGATGAAACCCCAGCTATCATTCCCCTGTCTGAGTATGAAATAATTGAGCCTGAGAGTGTGAAGGAGGTTAATGAACAACGAGTTGAAATAACAATAGAACATGAGAAGCCAGAGATGACATTACAAGTGTTAGAAAAGGACACATCCAATGACTTAGTTCCCAAAATTGCAGCTAAAATGTCAAGTAACACTGGACCAACCGTCATACATGGTCTATCAGAGGACTTTGAAGAACTCACAGACTTTGTGAGCAAACATCAACAACTGAGTGATATACCAGAGGAAGGCATCATTGAGGAAAGCATTGTAACACCAGTGTCATCTGCTGAGTGGACAACACAGGATGACACCTTATCTGAGGACATTGTGGAGTTGACAGCTGATGCGGTCACTGCCCCAGAACCAGCAAGTGAACAATTCACTGGGGATGACACTACTGAAATGGTCTCGGCAGTCTCGCAACTAACTGAATCACCCTGGACATCTGGACATGTTACACCAGTGTCGGCTGAATATGGTGTACAAACATCCGATGTGATCCTACAGGAAGCTCTTCAATCTATCTGCATGACTCCAAGTGTTCAATCAGTAACTACAAAAGATGAAAGACAGGAATCTCTGGCTGTGTCATGTTCACCTTATATTGTACAGTCATACACACAAGAAGAAACAAAGGTTTTGGTTGCACATAAGAAAACTGAAGCAACAGCAATATGTACAGGTCTAGTATCTCAAGAAATAGAGTCTGTTGAAGAGCATCTCCCTGCACACTTAGTGGAGGCAATACCTGAAGTGAGCGATGCTGTCCCAACTGAATTAGTTTCTGATAACTTAACAGATGAACCTGAAGCTGCAGGACATGAGACAGATGAGGTCTATGAAGCTGAAATCAACTATGTGAAGACTGAGTATCAGGAAATAATTGTGAATGAAGAAGAATCTTCCACTGAAACTCAGCTGGACATAGAGCAAGTCATTAAATTAGTGGCAGAGCCTTTAATGGAAGAATCAGAGGAGACTCATATGGAGGGCAAAACAGAGGAATGTACAACTGGTATTGAACTCGGACAAATGATTGATACAATGCAAAGTGAAGCTGGGCTGGACCAGGTTATGTCAGACTACACCCATGGTCCTGAAACAGAGTCTCCATTATATCCAGAGTTAGAGGAACCGGTGTATGAACAACCATTAGCTGCTAAACCTGAAAAAGAGCTGAAGGTACCAGATGTTGAATTGTCACATGCTGAGTTTGAGCAAGCTGCACTCACTGAAGTAGTTGAAACTTTGACACATGGCGTTGTAGACAACATTTCTGACACTACTACAAGTAAAGCCTCAGATGTCCCTGAGGAAGAAATTGAAATGATTGCCTCAGTGGAGGAGTGTCTGGAAAGCAAAGAGAGTATTATAAATTCAGATCACATAGTGGCAGAGACACTGGAGTTAGAAGACAATTTAGAAGTAGAAGGTGTATCAATACAAGTTGATGTCTGTGAAATACAAGTTGGGGCAAAAGATACAGTCTTTTTAGCAGGTGATTCAGCAGTGACTGTAGAGGACATCAGTGAGAAAATGGCTGAAAACATTCCAGAAGCTGTGGATGAATCATTAGCCAGAGAACAGATGCCAGCTAAGGAGGTGTCACTTCCAGAATCGGTATTAGTTGAGCAGGCTGAAGAGATCTATAAAGAAGACATTGATACAGATATGGATAATAACAAAGTGGATGACAGTGCAAGTGACAGAATGGACAGGATTTTTGTGAAAGAGGTAGAGGAACTTGCTGTAAAAGAAGGGCAACTTTTAGCAAATACTGAAAGCAATGAAACAGACAATCAAGATGTTTCTGCTGATACAAATACTACTGATGAATCTGCTGAAATAACTGTTGATGCGGATACTGAAAATGGAGAGACGGTACATGAAATTAGAGAACACACAGTTGTTCCTAGGTTTTCAAAAGATGTATCTGAGCGCACAGAAACACCAGCAGAGCTCGAAACTAGTTGTGAAGTCATACTGACACCTCTAGAGACAGCATTGCCAGAAGTTGAAGCAAGACCTGTACCAATAGAAATAGTGGGTTCTCAAACAGAGGAGTGCAGTGAAGACACCAAACATAGTCCAGAACCACCCAAAGAGAATGAACAACCAATGACAAACGAGAATATTAAGACTGGTAAAGTTTTAGAGATGGTTTCCATTATTGAGAACACAACAAAACAGTCAGGGAAAGAGAAACTTACAGTGATTGAACCAGTAGCACAGGCACTCACAATATCAGAGCTACCGAAGGCAACAGAACAAGAGGGTGATGCATCTGAAATGACTGTAGTTCATGCTGAAGCAATAGATGGTGACCAAGCCTCAGCAATATCATCAACATTAATGAAAGAAACAGCAGTTCCAGAAGAAAAGGTTACGATGGCTATTGCTCCCCAATCAGATCCAGAAAGGTATGACTCAGGGCTGACTGTGATTGAAGTGGCTGCAACCACAGTGCTGGCACAAAACGATACTGCTACACAAATGGAAGTTAGTAATGTGAGTGAACACATGAATGAAGCAGATGAAGATGGTAGGCTAAAATGTGAACCTATTGAACAGTTGATAGAAACGACACGGTCAAATGAGTTACAGTTAGACAAGGCAGAAATTAAAGATGAAATTCCAGCAGTAACGGAAGCAACGCCCATAGCACAGGTACCACCATTGAGCTTTGAAGTTACAGCAGAAATGCCAGACATTTCTGTTTCTGAGATACAAACACAAGTAGTGAGTGAACTCAGAGCAGCGACACTTGAAGTGACAGAACCGAAGGTTGAAATGCCAGTGGTAACAGAAGTTAAAGTAGAGACAGCTGTTGTAACTGAGCTGGAAGTGGAGAAACCTATTGTCACATCAGTGGTTACAGAACTTGAAGTAGAAACGCCAGTGGTTACATCTATGGCAAAGACGACTGATACTCTCAATTCTGTTGTAACTCCACAGAATCAAAACATAGACACTGACACGTCAGTTTTGACAACAGTGATCAAGGAACAAGTGGAGGAGATGCCTACTGTTATTTCTGTGGTAGTGACACCAGCTACACCTCTAGATGAAGTAACACAATTTGTAACTCTAGGCAAAGAGTCAATGGTTGTAGCACCAGTGGAAGACACACCAGTTGTGACTGTAGCAGCAGAAACACCAAATGTTGAATCAGTGATTGTGAGGACTGCTGTGGCCCCAGTAGTAGACATACAGAATGTGATTCCAGTGGTAGCAACACCAGATCTTGGTTCAGTGCTAGTAACAGTGGCTGCATCTTCAGTATTCAGCGCAGCAGTTGTGACTACAGTAGCAGAAGCAGCAGTTGTGAGCACAGATGTAGAAACACCAGTTATATCTTTCACAGCTGTAAAATCAACTCCAGTTCTAGTGGCAGATGTAATAGAGAAAACAAATGTGTCCCCTGTAGTAGAGATCCCAGGAGTACAGTCACCAACTGTAGGTCCAGTGATAATGTCATTAGGTGTAACATCTGTGGCGGAGACATCAGCTGTTACTTCAATGACAGAAACTGTACCTCCAGAAGTTACACTAGATGTGACCCCATTTGCAGAAACAACAGTGAGCCAAGTAATCAAAACTCCTGTGGCTTCCATCACATCAGTAAAACCAACTGTAGCTGCAGTGACACATACACCAGTCGTTGAGATACCAGCTATAATTCCAGAGACAGTACCAGAGACTGTATCTTCTGTAGTAGCTACATCAGCTGTAACTCTAGTAGCATCAGAACAAAATGTGACCCTAGTAGTAGAAACTCCAGCAGTATCTTCAATTGTAGTGGCAGAGACATCACTAGTGGTAGAAATACCAGATCCGATTTCAGTAATTGTAACAGAAGCAGCAACTCCAGTTACACCAGCAGGAACTTCAGCAGCAGAAACGTCAGCTGTGATCCCAGTAGTTGAAACTGCTGTAGTAAAACCAACTTCAGTTGCACTGGCAGAGACACCAGTTGTGACCCCGGTGATGATAACATCAACTGTGACTCCAATAGCAGAAAGGGCAGTTGTGAGGCTAGTACAAGAAACTATAGTAGGAGCACCAACTGCAATTACAGTAGTAGAGAGACCTGTTACGATCCCGGTGGTACAGACACCAGCTCTGGTTTCAGTGACTGTAAAAGAAGCTGCACCTCCAGTAGTTCTACCAGCAGTGACTGCAGCAGCAGAAACATCAGTTGTGAGCACAATAGTAGAAACTCTAGCAGTAAAGCCAACAGTGTCCGTGGCAGAGACACCAGTGCCTGTAGCTTCAGAAGCAGAAGCACCTGCTGTGACCCCAGCCGTGCAGACACCGGTTGTTGAGCAGATAGTACAGACACCAACAACTCCAGTCGTGCCTTTGGTAAAAGCGACACCAGTTGTGGCAGTGATAGAGACACCTCCTGTGACTATTGTTGAAGAAACACCAGCAACACAGACATCTGCTTTAGCCCCTGTGATGGTGACAACAGCTATTGGCCCAGTTGTTGGGGTAGCAGCTGCAGCGCTTTTTGTTGTGACACCAGAGGTAAAGGAAGCAATGTTGCAGGTGGTTGAACAGGAAAAAAAGGAAGCAAAGACAGAGCCTTCAGTTGTGTCTGAAGATGTTGAACCACCACTTGTGGCAGCAAAAGAGGTAAAGACACCAATTTTACCTGAAGAAAATGCAAAGGGCTCCTTGCAACACGAGCCTGTTACTTCAACAGAACCTCAATCAGAGGCAGAGGATGATGTGTGGGAGGATGCTGTAGATAATATTGGAGATTCCCAGGGTCTAGTGACACACACAGATGTAACACCCCAAGATACGGCTGCTAAACAAACATCTGATGCTGCAATTTGAGAGTGGCATGCTAAACCAAATGAAATATATTATGAGCTAGTAAGTGATTGCATTATATTGCATTTAGTTGCCAGTAATTTATTTTATTTTTCTTTGAAATTAATAACAATGATTTTATGATTTCAGGTGCAAATTTAACAAGGACAGATGATAACTTTTTTACACTTGGAAAAGGATGTGTGCTCACCTGGGACTCACATTTCTCACAACAAAGAAATGACCAAACTACTGAGAAATAAAATTGCATCATTAAAATCCCATTAAGTTTAGCTGTTCAGTAGATAGGCTGTTCTTTGCTCAATCACTACTTTTTTTTTTCTTTTCTTTTCTATTTTCTTTGACAGAAAATATGTCAACATATGAAACCCTTGAAAAGCAGCTATTTCGTCATATTCACACTAAGGATATTTGTCAATGTATTATAATTTATTTATATGCTGATTCTTACATTAGAGTAAGCTTATCACACGGCATTGCATATCTAAAATGAAAAGTTTTGATATAAAATATAAAACTTTTGTACACATGCATTACATCCTATAGATTTGAAAGTTTGGCATGTTTTAGTTTAGGAAAATTAGAATCAATTTTGAAGGCAATTGCCTGGTGTGTTAAGATATGTACTAATTAAATCGAGAGGTCAAAGGTTAATTTATTTTGAACCATTATATGCCTCGTTATACTTCGGGGAGGAATTTCTATGATATTCTAAATATGATGTACACTTTACCAAAAGCTATAATAAGCACTGAAATTTGAAACTTCACAATCACGTTCCATCAAAGAGAGGTTTAGACAGTATTCAGAATCAGTCACTTAATTTGTAACAGAAAATTACAGATTGTTTAATTTGATTTACAAAGATATTTTACAAAGTCAAAATCTGATCAAACTAATTTTTTATTTTTGTTATCCATATTGCGACATATCGCAATATGACATATATTAAAATATGTTTAATTTACAGAAACGACCAATTGAAGAAAGTGTGATTATTGTTGGCATTAAAAGCATGCAAACTAATGTTGCAATTACTGGCTTGTCCCCCCCAGGGAACCACTTAACATATATAAATGTTACATAATGAAGATCAATACACTCTGTACTCTATATAATCATTAAACTATTTTGCATTTTTGTTAATATGATACAAGCCGCCTTACTGTATCATGGGGGTTTGAAAGCATCTGGCCTGACAGAATAAGCCATTAGTGTATTGATATCAACATTTTTACTGATTCTAATATATTCCTAGGAAGGAAGTGTTTGAAACCATCTGTACAGACTGTCTATGCATCTTCGAAGAAGTTGTAATATTAACAATCAACTAAATACAGGAGTATGGTATTGTTCTTGTATTTTGAGACATTTCAAAATGTATGGTTTAATACAAATTATATTTCAAGTTTTTATTTAAAAAAAATTAATAAAAAATATACTTCACCAATGTTTGGCTTATGATTTATAAGACAACTCGATAAAACGCTGGATTATTTTTCAACTTTGTGCAACAGGATGGAGCAACTCGTTTTTGATGGGAAACAGTAAATATAGTTTTGGCATTTTATTAGTTTCAAATAAATCCACAAACAACATTTTAGTAACAAAAAACAACCAAACAAAAATAAACATGAAAGAAAAATGCAGTGGATCTTTAAACACACACACAAAAAAAAAGTTAAATATTGGCACTGAAACAGACTAATACTGCTTTAGCATGACATTTTAAGAAGGACTGGTCACTTCAGGACTCAGGAGTAGTTGTTTCTAAGTCCTTATTTTGATTTTCCCCCATTGAATTTTCTGCCAATGGTACAGCTTCACTCTCAGGCAAACACTGATGTTTGGGAACCTCGGAAGGACTTGCAAAAGGAGCTGCACACATGCTACATTTATAGGGTCTTTCTGAAGACTGGAAGAGAGCTTCCACCTGACTGTTGTCTTCTCCACCACACAGAACCAAACTCTGTTTGTTGACCATAATGTATGAATCTGCGTCCTGACTCAAACAAATATGTCGAGACGCTTGGTTCGCTCTACAGAAGTTCTTTCCACAAGCACTGCACTTATAAGGCTTCCCTGTGTGAATGTACATGTGCTCACGCCAGTGGCTCTTCTGAATAAACTTGCGAGCACAGGTCGGACACTCAAATTTTCGCCGTTTCATTTCACGACCCATCTCGGTGCCCTCCAGGTTGTCTATATCAGCAATTTCAGAGGGCGGTGGGGTGTCTTCCATCCACACCTGTTGATCGGTATCACTAATAACATCACTGTCAGCATGCAAAAGCTCCTCCTCCATTTCCTGACCTTCAAGCTCATTAGTGTGACCATTTTGCATGAACGACATCTGTGGCTCAGTTGCTTGGCTGGTGTGGACAAGTAGATGCTCCTTCAACTTGGACCTCTGGTTAAAACGGATTCCACAATAATTGCAGCCGTAATTCTTTCTGGAGGAAGCACTTCTACTCATTATGCCATATGTGAGGTGTTGGACGACTGAGGCTGCAGGGTTCTGGGTGGGTGACTCTATGCCGACAGGTTGTGGAGATCTATAATCCATATCAGAAATTTCTGAAAATTCTTGGCCGGTGATTTCACCGTTTGTAGCATAAACATCCCCCTTGGATGTTATTTTGGGTCGGCTGCATGTCTGATCAGGTATCTGTATACCATAAAGTGAGTTTGTCAAAGGTACATACTGGGACTCTGGATTCATAAGAAGACTTGCCTCTTGTAATAAGGGGTAAGCATGCAGGAATTTTACACCCTGCTCAAGGCGAAGGGGGTCAATGGGCTGTGTGGTAAATTTTCCAGTGTACATTAGGTTAAGCAGGTAGCTGAAGATATCTGCTTGTATGTCTGAAGGCTTCAGTCGAACACAGTCACTACAAAAGAGAAGCAGAAAGAGCCATCTAAATCCAGGTCTCCTCTGAAATAATGTAATTAATGTACTAGAACTTTTTTGCAATCAAGTTCACGTTACCTGTCTTGATGGATGAACAGCATACGGAAGTAGTTTGAGAAGGCAGCAAGAACGGCTTTATGGGCTTTGAAAAGTATATCCCCGATGGCCACAGTACAGTCACAGAGGAAACCAAACTCTCTCTGAGCATTGAGACGCTTCAGAAGCACAAGACCATGATGTGCCAAATCCATTTTTTTTCCCACCCTAAAAAAAAAAATCATCAGGATTTCAAAAGATTTTTCCTGATCAATCCATTTATCTTGCTCCTCATTAAATATTTTATTACATTTTGGTCACCAAAACTACATTTAGTATACTATGCACTTGTCTCTCTAACCTACCTGTCAGGACATTCCTCACCTGCAAAATATTTTAAATGTAAAAACATCCTATGAGGAGTGTATAATGTCCTATTTTACATGACAAAGTGGCAGAAGTGTGGCTTCTAAATAGGTTTTGGGGCTAGTGTGTGTGTGTTTTGACTGTTGAGGCTCCGCCCATGTTGGTGAATTCCGAGTACAAAAGTTTCCTCGGACAAATAGGAAACACGCGCTCGAGCAATGAACCCAATAAAATAACGTTACACATATTAATGAGCGAAAATAAACAGAGGGATTAAAAATGGTTCGTTTTCCGATAACGAAAGCCACGTGAAGAAGAAAACGGTCAAAGTATTAATCATTTTCAGACAAGATCCGTGAGTAATCATCGTTACTAAGGGTAAAAACGCCGACAACCGGTTTATTAAACACTTGTTTCAAATAAGACTATTGAGGCGTCACTTACCGTTCTTTCAAAAAATCTAATGCCTTATTCAGTTTGGTTTGTTGGCTGAAAAACGGAGGAAGCTTCTTAGCCGAAACAGCAGAACGAGTCAAGTCAGTTGTGATCCGCTGCTGTTTTCCGGAGAGTTTGAAATCACATGACACGAGCGCGCGCCGGATCGAACGGCTGTCAATCACAAGAGGCCGATCAATCAGCTGCATTAGAACATCACATGACGTCACGGTGTATTTGTTAGATCTGAGCAGCATTAACTAGTGAAATAAATGGTGAATAAATGTCTGAAATATAAAACACCCAGCTGGAAAATCCAGTTTATGATGGCAGGCCTATCTGTGTTGCAATGTTCCAAAAAACCAGCTTGACCACATTAGAAAGCTTTTTGTGAAGTAAAAATCAGTGGAGACATTTCTGCAGTAGGCTATTGGAGATGACGAAAGTACCCCATTATGATACCAAGTTTCACGCCATTGGCAACAAGGCAGCATCTGAAGAGTTGTGCACATTTCAGAGCCATATCAATATTACTTTAGCTTATATAATATATAAAGGGATTTCCTGAGGAGGGCTATCAGTGTCACTTTCCTGATGATTTTCCATCTAGACATGGTCATAAACGCATAAAACCTCTAGAGAATGAGAATCAGATGAAATTAGAATCTGAATAAATTTAGTGAACAATATTTGTATTTTGTGTGTACAGTACGCCATTTACTTTTCTTTTCTTGGACCCTGAGTCTGTAATAAAGTTGATGATAATAGACGCACATATTTAAGAATAAAGAGAAGTAACAGATTTCAGCTGATCTTTGCAACAGATTAATTCCCCCTCCAAGCTTACAATAATGTGCACGACAGGGGCTGCACCTGGGTTGCACAGACTAGTCGACTTTAATGCTGTCATGACGCTTTAAGTCGACTAGTCGCTGATCATTCATGGCCTATTAGAGGACGCAACAGGATAAGATATTTTAGAAGTCCACTTTTACGCTCCGTTTCCAACAGTTAAAATGACAAATAAATGCATACTCTGAGAGCACGCCTCAAGACATGTTTGATTATTTGGATGCTCAAAATTGATTGGGTGAATGCACTTTTTAAACAGCTTGTACACGTAAGTTAATCGCCATTCTAAACTAATGCACTGCTGCATTGTAACACACACACACACATACAGACAGTAGCTCACACCTCACGCGCAGATCACACGCACACCGAATCATTCAGTAGCACAGAAATGTATTGTCAACACTGTGTTTTGTGACTTATCAATAAAATAGTTTAGAATTAGGGAGAGTGAAATGTAATCTTTACTGTTCTACTTTATTTGTATCTGATTTAGAACGAGCAGAAATCTGTGAGAAATATAATGACCCAAAGACAAAAGAACTGATTAAGCTGTTATCTAGGAGCACTGTGTCAATATGCCATAGCTGTGCACAAGGCAGTCTCAGCTCGAGGTTTATTTGTTCATCACTGACGTCATCAGCGACTAGTCGACGTCGACTTTCATCACATAAATGTCGACTTTAAAAGATCTGAAGTCGTTCAACCCTTAGTGCACAAGTGTCAGGCGTGATCTTGCACAAACATTTACCCCTGGTTTCACAGACAAGGCTTAAGCCTAGTCCCAGACTAAAACGCATATTTGAGCTGTTTTAACTGAAAGCAACTTGGATGTTTATAAAAGCTACTTAAATGTCCTTATTGAACTAAGGCCTAATCCTGGCTTAATCTAAGCTCTGTCAGTTAAACCAGGCTTTATTAAACTGCTGTTTCAAGATGGTTGACTAGCTAATGACCACCTCAAAACCAGCATGTTCCAAAACACAGCAGTCAGCTAAATCTGGATTTTCCAGCAGAAATCATTTAGGACATAGATTCAACAGTGAATTAAATCCAATAACTCTCTAAAAATCAGATATTGTAGCATGTGAATAAACTGATCTGAGTAAATTTGTTTATAAAGTTTATAAAGGAGACAGAACAGAAACCAAATGAGCCACTATTTATCCACTATACGTGGGTCCTTAAAAAAAAACTTTATTTCAGGTCTCAAATTCACATTAAGAATAACAAGAGATCATTGAGTACTTCAACTTAATTTACAGAAAACAAAATGATTTGTTGGTTTAAAATAAATATTTAAGTCCTCTTGTAAGACTATATCTGTGGGTCCTCAGAAGATTACACGAGCAAGTTCAAACATCACCTTCAGAGAGAAGAAAATAAGTGTTTTTACGTAGCATTTGCAAAACATATGTACATGATATGATGCAGACATAAAAAAAAGGTAGTTTTTGGACAGTGCAGCTGTCTATTATTTAAACTGATATTCAAAATGAAAGTGAGCTGGCTGGATGATATTAAATAAGTGAGAATTCAGTGTTTTCTAACCTCAATGGTGATCAGCACGACGATCATCCACTCCAGTCTGAGACTGTGTTTCTCACTGAGGTGATTCCTCATCAGGTCTGTTAGTTCAGTGCAGTGCTGTAACTTCTCGTTCACAACCTAGAAAACAAAGTGTGCACAAGGATCAATGCAGCATTATTCCATCCTTTGATCGGGATATTTATGTCAAACCTATTCATATTTTTGCAAGTACTTTCACTAACCTTGACTCTCCTGTTAATATTGAGGAACTGACAGGTCTTGTCATAGAGCTGCTCGAGATCTTCTCTGTCCCAGTAGAAATCAGGTGTGATCAGTAAGTCAGAGCTGAGGTTTATGCAGTGCCTGTAAAAGTGTAATGATATTGTGAGAATTAAACAAAGCAGTAGATTATCTCATACAATATAAACCAGATGAAGTCCTGCATATGGATCCTGACCTCAGGGAAAAGAGCTCCCCTATCTTCTGCATAACTTCAGCCCTGGACAGTTTCACTCGTTGTCCAGACTTCAACATCTGTTTAGAAAGGTTCATGGCTATAATGACCTCATTTCAAATAGGAGTATATTTTGCATTTTCAGAAAAACATATTCACATTCAATATACAAAACTATTTCAACTTTCAAAAAACAGCAAATGCTGGTATTACCTATGAAAGAGTACATAAGTGGATCTACCTCAGGAATAGACTGGATGGACTCAACAAAGTTGTCGAGAGAAACCTCCCATATCGCCAGTTTAACTGAAGTTAAAAGCAATGAATTATTGCAAGCATCAAAATATAATTAGTTTCACAAAGTTTGATAAAAATGTGTGAAAATGCAAACATAATCCCACCTGACAGAGATAAAGCATTGGAAAATGCAAACTTCTCCAGAACAACCTGCTCATAATCCAGCTCTCCGTTAAACAAGAAGATTCCATGATGGAGCTTCGAATGACCCCTGAACCAACATGAACAAACAAACAAACAAAAATAAAAGCATGGCTACATCTTAAAGTAGTACCATCATCAACTTCCAAGGAGTATTACATGATTTCAACAGTTTTTGCACATTTTGCATTAAGAAATTAAAGATTTTTGACTGACTCTCCAACTGTATAATTGATTTCTTCATTTTCCCAGTGGATCAGAGCGACTTCATAGGGTTGAATTTCATGCTGCTCCAGTATCCTCATCACTGCCTTTACCTGAATATAGAATACACCAGCAGGGCATGATTTGGAGCATGATTTTTAATTTTGTGAAAGAGCCTTTTAATATTTGCCAAACACCTGATTCAGATTCACGTGACATATATATATATATATATATATATATATATATATATATATATATATATATATATATATATATATATATATGTTTGTTCGCTGATCAATCTTTTTATGTGAATAAAAGCCTAAATTCCATCTGTTCATCATATAAAGCGATCGAGTCTCTTCAGAAAATATAGACTAAACCACTCAATTCATATGGATTAGTTTTACAATCTCTTTATGAACTTTTTAAAGTTAAAGTGTCAGTTGCGTAGCTGCCAATGGAGGGACCGAAAGCTCTCAGATTTCATCACAAAGATCTTAATGTAATTAATGACAGAATTTTCCTTTTTGGGTGAACTATCACTTTAAGGGCTGTATTAAATAAATTAATACAGCTTTTATCTATCTGCCATTGCTTCAGAGTGTGTGTTAAATTAATACTTACTGTTTTCTCCTCAACATTCCAGAATACCACTGAGCCTTCTCTAAAATGGAAAACAACACAAAGAATAACTAGAAATCAGAAATCAAAACCCAGAAATTCAAGTGACAAATAAGCATTCAACATTATACCTGAAGAAGAATATTGTGCCACTGTCGTTTGTTTTTGCAGCATTCTCTGTTCCCATCACCAAAACGTTAGAAGCGTCTGAAACCCACAACATTTATTTAGGCTACTACAAATAAGAGACTGTGCTCAAACAAGCACGCAATGCATTCGTTTTTTATGCCAGCTCAGAAACATAAAAAAGTGATGAAGGTGAACTGACCTCTGGGAAATTCCTTGATTTCACTGAAGCCGTTAGCTATGAGATCGTGACAGAGTGTTGGTAAATGGTACTGGTCTGCAGTTGCGTATGCAATGCACTGCATCATGTCCTGAAAAATGTCATTAAATACATAAACGGTTATTTATACATGCCATTAATGGTTTGATCATAACACACAATAGTCACACACCTCCTCCAGACTGGGCTGAGTGGTCCGTGATGGCTGTTTGGTTCTTGGTCCCTTAAAGGTCCTTTTTCCAGGCACACCTCCTTGTTTCAGCACTGATTTGGTGGTGGTTGTTGTGGACTGCAATCTAATTTGTATACTCCATGTTTTGGATATTAAATTTAGTGGAGTCAGCACTTTAAAGTGTGGTCTTTGAAACATTCCTCTTTGCAATAAGTATCTATGGTGATGTACGGTGATGTGACAGCTGCTCTGGTCGTTAAGAATGTTTTGTGTATGTGCACTGGATGCCAGTGTTGAGCAGTTTAACACCATGGTCCTGCTGACACTGTTTAATCCATTTACTGTCCTGAGAGCAGATCCAGGGGCTTGTGTCCATTTCAAGGGTTGATGTAACCTCCATAGAATCTTGAGAGACATGCCTGTAAGAATCAAACAGTTTCAGCATTAAAACACTGTTAAATTAGGTCTATTTCTGACCAGAAAGTACCACTACTTTTAGTGGCCAAGAGGCCTATTTCAACTGACCTTGAATGAAAAGCATGTCAACCGCATTGGTCATATCTAACCCTATTTATGGTTCAATATTTGTACATAGAAGAAAATGCAAAGGAAGACAGAACACGCGTCTGCTTCTTTCTGATCAGCTGACATAAAGCAGATACGCTGTTAATATCTTTCTGACACTACTGTCAACACAAGCTGCACACTCACTTACAATTGATTCTAATAATTCACGGTAATTCAGTCGTCTTAAACCTCAGCGTACCTGCCACGTACCGTCCCGGTTCCCGCCAGATATTAGAACGTTCGGTGACAGAAACTGTTCCACTGTTGATACATATGTCACAACATTGTCAAAGACTCACATAAAGTTTATTTGACAGTTCGAACAGCACGAGTGATGCGGCCACTTCCTGTATTTTGGTGACGTCAACTTCAGACGTAATGTTGCCCCGCCCTGTAGAGACGTAATACACATTTTGAGCTTGTGAATTTTATTTTAATATTTGGTAATTTCCATGTAAATAACAGCAAATCTAAAGCATGTTGCAATATGTTTGTTCTCTTAAATATAGGAAAAATAAGAAATCGAGATTGGGCCATATTTCACACCATAAAGAGAATATAATCGAAGATTAGGATTCGAAAGTGCGGACATTTAATTTTTTGCTTGTTAATTTGTGTCCTTTCATTCAGCTTTTGTGCTAATTATTACTTAACTGTAACACATATATTTTAATTGTCTAGTCAAAGTTATACACGCTTAATGAGGAGAATTGAGGTATAGGCAGAGCCCGTCTAATGTCAACATTCTCTGGTATAGAAGACTTTATGTTATTTGTCATAAGATGCTTCAAATCCATATGCCAGTAAATTAAAATCGATAAAAATGAGATAAGATCAAACTAAACTGACGCATTGTAAATCGCTCGGATTAAAGCATCTGACAAAAGCATAAATGTGTGAATGTAAAATACGCTTGTATTAACCCTAAAGTATTAACCATAGACTGGTATGAACCTAACATTTGATTTTGCGCCCCCTATCGGTTAATGCGTTAAATGTTGTTGTGTTGCTTGGATACTTGATAAACTACAGCCACATAATCTAGAAAACACTGTGCATTAGTCAGAGATGGTTTGATATATCGACGTGGAGCAACAAAGACAAGTGAGTTTTTGTACATTGTGCCAATCTATAGAATGATACATACTCATAATTATTTTCTTCATAAAAAAGTCGTTGACTTCACTGCTACTGCTATAACCATATCATTTGATTTTTGTCAGGATCAATAAAATGCTGTAACAGCTTCAGGACTTGTCATAAAGCAGACTAAAAACATGCAAACAAGGACTAACTTAGTCACAACTGATTAAAATGTGATATGTTTCAATGTATATTTTGTGATCATCTAGTATACTTTTGTTGTTAATTCATAATCAAATTGTATAAAGTAAGTTAATAAAGTAACACAGCATTGTTTGTAATTCAGAGTTACATAATATCCCCATATCCCCTCTCTGATGTATTACTATTATAAAAACTAAAGTTATGAATATTCATTGTGAATGCTACTATTGCTATGGATACATCAGGTTCTGTCTGTCAACATTCAGGTTTGATTGACAGTGTTTTCGCAATGGAGGAGTCTGTGATCCAGCAGCACCTCACACACTATAAACAGGCCACTGAGACGGCCCGTGAGGAGCTGGCCGTCCTGCAGGCCAAATACAGCAACCTCCAGTCACAGGTTTATATATTCACTGGCAATTCAGGGTGTTTTGGATGGACATGCTCTTTATGAAATAATAACACATTTCATTTTAACAGTTCTTGGAAAGCCAATCCAAAGTTGCATCTCAGGAAGAGACTTTGAAGAGCTTAAAGGATGCTATAGATAGACATAAAGAGAAAGAGGCGAGACAGGAGTCTCTCGTCAGCTCGCTCAGAGAACGCAACTGCAACACAGAGCAAGAGATGATCTCCATCACCTCCTCCAAAAGCATCATGGACATGAGAATACAGACACTTACGAAGGAGAACGAGAAAATCAAGGAGAAAGTAATGGAACTCGATATCAAGTCAAAGTGAGCATTTACAGTACACTATGTCAAAAGTTTGCACACACCTAGCCTTTTTTTCTATTTTTTTTTTTACATTTTAGAATAACAGTTTAGTAGTTTGTAAGTCATAAGGTGGATTCTGGGATGCTTTTTTATACATGTTAGTGCTGTCAATCGATTAAAAAATGAACTTGTGATTAATAAAAGATAATATTAAAGTTTTCAGTATAAATGTATTATTATTATATTGTAATAATTTCACATTTAATCTCCAAATTAATGTAGACACTACATAAAGACAGCCTATATTTTAAATATTTGTTTAATGGCATCTTTCAATGAATAAAGGCCAGTATCACCATACCAACTACTGATGTCTATAGGAAATTGATTTTCCCCCTCAATTTTAGCCATTAATTATAGGCATTCAGCATTACAGTATAATTGAAAGCTATCATTTTCTTAACATTTATTAGGATTTAAATAATATAACAACTTTTAATTCAAGTGAACTTAAAACAATCCTCACATAAACTCATTATAAAAAATTCCACATTTACCTGCACCCTTCAATATATCAGGGCTACATTTTCTCTATTGGCCCAGTCAGACCTGTTCAGATTTTTACTTGCCCTGTCAAACTGCTCAAAAATGTATTGTTTTCTCTGTCTTTTGTTCTTTGTAATTAACATTAATGACAGACATCACATCAGCAGGTTTATTAGGCTGCTGTCACTTTAAGAACTGCCGCACATGACGCGAATCTGACGCACAACTCTTTACATGATCCAAGAAGACTTGCGAGGATACTTGACAAAACTGCCATTTTGGCATAATTCTGTGTGTTTTTGTCCTATTCATATATACAACATGGCTTTGTATATATGAATAGTTCAGTTATGAAACTATGTTTATTCAATGTAATTTTTTCCAGACAATCAAATTCACGTATCCATCACCATTTCCCTTTATAACCAAAACGCATTCAAACGAATGTACTATCTCTGCACGCAATGGAAATTCTTATTCTAACCCTCCGCTTCCCCAGCACCGCCTACCAAGATCGATTAAAGCATCATCGGTATTTGATTTTATTCCATGGATCATTTTCTTTTAATAATCACTGTACAAATTTTCAGACAGTATTTTTCAGAATGCAACAAGGCAAAACAGGAAGCCACTGAGACCCAGAGAAGATGTGATGAGTTTATATCAACATTAGCAAACAAAGCCTCTGTAAATGTGGCAGGAAAGGTGGATCCTATGGATTATATTGCATCCGTGGTGAGTGTTTCAGGCATGCTTTCTGCCACTACTTTAATATTCTCCTGATCTCTATCATATCTCTCGATGATAAGGTGGATGCGTGCTTCAAGGACAGAGATCGGCTGAAGAGCTGCAATTGTTCTTTAGAGGAGAGTGTGAAGTTGTATGAGGTGGAGTGTAAAGCCAGCAGAGAAACGGTAAAGAGACTGGTGACTGATGTAGACCGTGAACAGACACTCTCAGCCTCCAGAGCAAATGAGCTGAACTCTAACAGACAGGTATCCTTCAGATCAATAATGTAATTAAACACACAACTGTAGCAACACAAGCATCTTTTAGGGTGAATCTGACAAAACCTGTGCAGAATATGTCTGGGTTATTATTATACACTATCGGTCAAAAGTTTTTCCAAGACTGCATTTATTTGATTGGAAATATTGGGAACATTAGTACAATTTAAAATAATAATAATTATTCCTGTGATAAGTTATTGTGATGGAGTTATTACTCCAGTCTTTAAGTGTCATAAGATCATTTTTCTAACATTCTCCCGTTCAAAATGTGCAGTTTTTTTTTTAAATGGTTTAAAAAAAGATTTTTTAAGGGAACGTTCCATTCTATATCCTTTTGTACACATTATGTGAATGTTACTTTTGAATGTTCTCTGAATATTCCGAAACAAGCAGTAACATTTAAAAAAAGAAACGTTTCAGAAAAAAAGAACGTTAAAAAAACGTTTTTGTGCTAACCTTTTAAAAACATTATTAAAGACCAGATAACTTTGAACGAACATTCTATTAATGTTACTGGAAGAACGTTTTTTCATAACTTGTTCTTATTAACAGTTCTGAGAACGTTAGCTGGGATCCTTCAGAAATCATTAAAATGAAAATGATTTATTTAAAAACTTAATTGCTCCAAACTTTTGACCAATAGCTTATTTCACTTCATAAGAAGTAAATATATTTTGCATAAAGATTTTTTTTAAGTATATTTCCTGTAAAGCAAAATCAGTGAGAATAAATCAGCAAAATATACTGTATGTTTTGTCAGGAATTGGATCTAATCTCCCTGAAGAAACTAAGTTTAGAGCGGGAGAACCAGACCCTTAGGAACTCCCTGCAGGAGACTGAACTATCTCTGGCGTCTGCACAGCAGCGCTGCCGCCACTATGACAATCTGTCTCAAGATCTGGAAAATAAACTCCACGGCTGCCAGAACGAAGCTCAGGCGTCTCGCAGTCACCACGAGGTCTTCGTGAAGAATGTGGAAGCCCTGCTGGACCATCAGTCTCTTCCTGTTCCACACACAGAGAACGACATATTGAAGGCACTTACAGCTCTTTGTACCAGAGAGAAAAGTGCACGAAAGGTCATTTGCATTCCACACTATTATAAAACAGATTGCGTTCTTATTTTTCAACCAGTGCTTTCTGCGTGCTCTAGTCTCAGATGGAAATGGAAGGCAGGCTGGCGGAGGTGACAGAGCAGTTGTCCAGCCACAAAGAGCATCATATCGGCTCTGAACGGAGAAAACAGGAGCTGTTGGACAGAATACAGAGTCTGGAGGATGAGCTGCTGACTTCTGGAGTCAGCAAAGATGGAATGAATCAGGACAAACAGCATGTGAGGAAGTAGATTCATACCGCCAAAGCTCGAGCTCACATTGTAAAACTTTTCTGGCCACTGTACCAACCTTATTTTGTAACGAGAATGTTGTTTTGAATGTGGGAGACTTCGGGCTCTATCATACACCCGGGGCAATGCAGCGTCAGGTGCGGCGCAAGTGTTTTTTGCTAGTTTCAGCCCGACGCAGTTATCATTTTCACTTCCTGCGCCACGTTGTTTAAATGGCAAATGCATTTGTGCCCATCTGTTCGCCCATGAAAACGAGGTGTGTTCAGGCACATTGTTGGCACGTTGCTATTTTGAGGCAACTGAAATAGACTGCTTTAAATAACAAAAAAAAAAAGTGTTATTTAAAGGGCACATTAGTAATATGCGCCTATGGGCGGGTCCACAACGCGCGTACACTCTTCTTATTACACACACACACACACACACACACACACACACACACACACACACACACAGGGACGCGCAGCATCACACAAACATGCCAAATATTAAAAATTAAAGGATTACAAAGTAAAAGATTATTATCGTGCACATAAAGATATGGTGGAATCCGGCTTGTCCTGTAGATGGTCTGCCTGCGTGCTTTAACCTCGCGCACGAGCAGATGTCTGGAGACGCGTTCATTTTTTCCGCTTGTAAATTCCACCATGTAAATAAATAGCGAATCCTCCATGGCGCGATCGCAACTGGCTTTTAAAGGGAATGGGAGATGAGACTATGATTGATTTATTGCAAGTTACGGCCAAAACACACCCATTACTCATTAAGAGAATATGAACAACTCTTTTAGACCATGCGCCGACCATTTTCCCGTCGGTAAACTAGCAAAAGTGCACTTGCGCCGTGCACTATAGGGCCCTTCCAGTTAATTAGCCGCTATAGGTAAATAACTAGAAGAATAGTGCAGTAAACAGTAAAACTAACTGCACTACAAACCAGTGTTTATAACAATATATTAAATTAATAGGTGACACTTTTTTTCGATAGTCCACTTTAGACCCGGCCCACATCTGGTACCCGTCGAATCCACATGTACCAGATGTGACCCGGATCTGGGCCGACACTATGTTGCTGTCTGGGTTGGGGAGCATCAAAATAAAGTGTTAGCAGATATTAAGCAGACAGTCTACTAATACTCTAAGGACTGCTAGTTGACATGAAGTATACTATTATAAGAAATACCAGTTTGTAATATCAGCCAGCACAACATGCTGTTGTGTACAGCTAAAAAAATAACTTTAAGCAAATGACACCGGAAGCCTTGCACAATTAAGTTACAAATGGCAATGTCACGTTAAAACTAATCATAATCAGAATGCATCATAAATGTCCTAAAATGACCTCTCAGTAATGTCATTGGTCTTCTTCCTCTGTAGTACTTGCGGTTCGTGGAGCAGCTCTCAGAGAAGTTAAAAGTGGATCATGTTGCGGCAGATCTGGGATTTGATATGAGACTTGAGGCCATTCTTACACGAGCACAACAGCTGACCAGGCAGGAAGGGACGGCGTTACTGGAGAGCAGGACACAAATCTACAGCCTTCAGAGAAAGGTGCACACATGTCAAAGAGGGCAGTAATGAGCCTAACAAACAATCATTTAGTTCAATGTTTTGGTGCATAAATGGTACAAATTACCATAGATATCCATAATAAAGGCTAGATGTCTCGTCCGCACTGCTGGCCAATGGAGGTCGACGTCTGCACCTGGCGGCCATCTTGTCACAGGCAGCTCGCTCACTCGTAACATTGTGTTTTTGCATGTACTTTTTAAATAACCATAACTTGCTCAATTTTCTACCGATTTTCAAACAGTTTGGTTTGTTATAAACATCAGAGATGTAGTTATGACACTGCATACTTGTGAATAATAAGTGTATAAATAAATAATCATCCAGAATTATAGCCACGTTAATAACCTTTGTAAGAAACCAAACCGTTTGTAAATCCGTTAAGATTTCAATTAGATAAGAGTATTTGTGTTCGTGCTGATCACTCATCTTACATCAGGCACCACAGAGCCCGCCAGAAAGCTTGCCTGTGACAAGATGGCCGCCGGGGATGACGATAGAGACTCCGCCGTAAGACATCTAGCCTTTATTATGGATATCTATGCAAATTACTGTCCAATTGTGTCAGATTTTACTGACTTAAAATTTACCAAACATTAACAAACATTTAAAAAGTAAAATAAAAATAATAATAAAAATTTGTGAAATTTCCAAATGTCTAGTTTTGTAATATTTATGGTTTAATCAAAACAAAAAATAGCAATTGATTTTTTTTAAAACCTTTTAATTTTATTAAAACCTTATATTTATATTTAACCTTATATTTAATTTTAAATATAATTAAACATTCAGTCAAAAGGAAAATTCTTCAAATTTATATTATAATGAATTCTTTTTATTTTCTTATATCTTATAAATATAAAATCTTATTTCTTTTTTATTAAGAAAAAAGTTGTATATATATATATATATATATATAAAACTTTTAAGTTTAAATGTAAAATCAAAATACATAGTTCTGTCATGAAACTATATGGCACAGGCTGATCAGTCTTTAACTCAATCTGCTTGCAATCACATCATTCTCTATAGAGCACAGCTGATTGGTTCCTGCTGTATCAGTAGCCAATGAGCTCGTTGCTCAACCTTTAAATTCTTGGTTAGCATTTGCAGTACGCTTTTAGAAACCCTCCACCTTCCCCAGCTCCACCTGTTTAGATCTGCAACGGCCAATTCATGTATGCTACATTGTACAGCAGCAGCAGCAGCATAGCAGATCTAATCCAAGACCAAATATATCAACAATGTCATATCCATTTTCATGCCAAACACTCTAAAAGTTGTCATGACAGAAATGTACAACTTAAATATAAACCTTGATCTAATTTTTAAATATTAACCATGCAGCATTCCTAATATTATTAGATTTTTTAATTATAATTGGCTATCATTTCCATCCATGGCTACAGTTTAAAGAACAGAAGGAGCGTTCAGGAAGTAAAGAGCTTCACCTGGAGCTGCTGAGGAGGAAGGTGGTCCAGCTGGAGGAGGAGAAGAGGAGCCGCTCAGCTCTGGCGGTGGAGAAAGATGACACTGCTCTGGCCTGCAAGAAGCTCCAGAAGCGAGTGGATCGACTGCAGGCGGAGCTGAGCACCTTACGCTTCTCCAACACTGAGCTGAAAGCCCAGCTGTCCCACACCAATGAGCTCAAGGTACAGGGAAGAGCCCTGGCCCACAGACCCTCACCAAACAGAGGCATTTCAGCATAAAATACAAAAAAATAAGACAATTTTTAATTATACAAAAGTGAATCTGTAAATATACAAAACTGTTTATCTTAAGAATGCTTTGAAGGCATCAAATGACCAACTCTGTAGAGGGTCCTTAATTCGACTATACGTTTGTTTAGAGATTAGAAATGCTCATGTTTCACTATAGCAATATATGTTCTTCAGATCAGTGTTTTAGTTTCTGAATTTGTTGCTTTGAATTAAAGCATCTGCCAAATCCATAAATGTATATGTTCTAAATCAATCCTTTATGTATAAAAATCACAAAAGAATAGAAGTAGCAACAGATCTTCTCTTCCATATTGTGACATACAATTGAGAGAATTGGATTATTGAAAAAGAAACACAGTATACCGTTCACTTGAAGATTGAGTTATGACATTTCGATTAAAAGATGAAACAATGCATGGATGAATTGTTCACAATAAGATCAATAACATGCATTTAGAAAATAGATTGGGTGAATTGTGTAGAGTAGCGATGCTTATAAATGCTCAGTTTCTGCTGTCTTTGGTGCAACAAGATCAAAGTGATGGAACAAAACCAAACCATAGAGGAGCAGGGTAAGAATCTGGGAAAGCATGAGAAGAACAAGGTAAAGACTGAGAAGAAGCTGACCACCATCAAGTCAGAGCTGCAAAACCAGGAACTCAGAGCCAGAGATGAGATCCAACAAGCCCAACGACTCCTGGACACGCAGTCTAGTGCCATAGCAGATCTTTCTCACAGTGAGAAACAGGTACTGAGGGTGACCACATATCTGCACATATCCTAACCCAAAGTTTTGAATGGTAATATACTGTAACTCTATAGAAAAAAGAAACATCCTCTCACTTTCATCTGCTTTCCCCCCCAGAAACTGTGTTAATGTGTAGGGCATCTTTCTCCTGATGTTTTCCAGTCACTAGAAACTGTGTGTCACGGGTGCGTTACGGAGAATGGAGCGAGGACTCAAATGCAGAGGTGAAAGCCTTTAATTAAGTAAAACATATATCAAACAAAGGAAATCCAGGTTGATAAACTAATTGCTAAATCCAGAAACACGACATGGCAGGAACAGAACAACACACAACTCAAAATCCCAAGTAACATAAACAACGAACGAGCACAGGACAACAAACACAGGAAGACTAAATAGGGAGGCAAACAAAGGAGGGTAACGAGGCTGACAGGTGGAACAAATAAACCAATAACCAGATAACAAGGGGGAGGGATCAAACAATGACAAGAGCACATGGCTCAAAATAACAAAACACCCATGTGCATCACAAGACAGGACAGACATGTGACATTACCCCCTCCCTACGGAGCGGCTACCAGACGCTCCATCAGACCAGGGCGGGACAGGAAGGAAACACCAGGGCGGGACGGGAGGGACAGACCAAGGTGGGACAGGAGGGACAGACCAGGGGGGAATGGGAGGCCAGGGTGAAGCGGACAGTCCATTGGGCGGCCAGGGCGGCGCTGAAGACCCCTCGGGCGGCCAGGGCGGCGCTGAAGACCCCTCGGGCGGCCAGGGCGGCGCTGAAGACCCCTCGGGCGGCCAGGGCGGCGCTGAAGACCCCTCGGGCGGCCAGGGCGGCGGCGAAGACCCCTCGGGCGGCCAGGGCGGCGGCGAAGACCCCTCGGGCGGCCAGGGCGGCGAAGACCCCTCGGGCGGCGAAGACCCCTCGGGCGGCCAGGGCGGCGAAGACCCCTCGGGCGGCCAGGGCGGCGCTGAAGACCCCTCGGGCGGCCAGGGCGGCGCTGAAGACCCCTCGGGCGGCCAGGGCGGCGCTGAAGACCCCTCGGGCGGCCAGGGCGGCGCTGAAGACCCCTCGGGCGGCCAGGGCGGCGCTGAAGACCCCTCGGGCGGCCAGGGCGGCGGCGAAGACCCCTCGGGCGGCCAGGGCGGCGAAGACCCCTCGGGCGGCCAGGGCGGCGAAGACCCCTCGGGCGGCCAGGGCGGCGAAGACCCCTCGGGCGGCCAGGGCGGCGAAGACCCCTCGGGCGGCCAGGGCGGCGAAGACCCCTCGGGCGGCCAGGGTGGTGACCTATAGCCCCCCCGCAACCAAATCTTGGGGAGAGAGACAGGTTCAGGGACAGGCTCTGGCTGGGCAGATATGACGTGGGCAATCTCTGGCACGGCGTGGCTGGCGTGGACAATTACTAGCACGGCGTGGCTGACATGGACAGTCTCTGGCACGGCGTGACTGACGTGAAACGCCGGCTCGGCGTGACTGACACGAACAGTCTCTGGCTCGACAGACGTAAGGATCTTGGGCGGCGCTGGCAGGGCAAGACGTCTGGGTGGCGCCAGCAGGGCGAGACTCTTTGGTGGCGCCAGCAGGGCGAGACGTCTGGGTGGCGCCAGCAGGGCGAGACGCTTGGGTGGCGCCAGCAGGGCGAGACGCTTGGGTGGCGCCAGCAGGGTAAGGCGCTTGGGTGGCGCCGGGAGAGCAAGGCGTTTGGGTGACTCGGTTGCAGTTCCCACTGGATGCTTCGAGGTCCCGACTGAAGGCTTCGGAACAACCTCCGGATCTCGTGGTTGACTGGAAGCTTTCCTCCTTCTCCGTTTACGTGTGCGAACGGTCTTTATAGGTTCCTCGGCCACCAATGGTGGCGCTGCAGGGTTAGGGAACCGCTCTGGGACAACCGGATCTGAGACCACTGAAGTCACCTCCTTAGGGACCCCCGGACTTGGGACCACCGAAGTCAAGTCCCCCTGAACAACCAGGCTTGAGACCACCGAGCTTGTGACCACCGAACTTGGGACCGCCGAAGTCGCATCCTTCGGGACCCCCGGACTTGGGACCCCCGGACTTGGGACCACCGGCGCCGGATCCTCCTGGACCACCGGGCTTGAGACCACCGAAGTCAGATCCCCTCGGCCCACCAAAGATGGATTCTCCCAGGCCACTGAATCAGGAGGAACTTCATGACGTTCAAGGAGTATTATAAATTCCCCAAACGTCAAACTCTGCAAACTTCTCATAATACCAAAAGGTATGGGGTCATCAAGTGCATAATTAAGTAGATCCTTCAGAGCCCCCTCACTAAGCTTCAGTCCCACTGCCACTGCAGAGAACTTCCGGGCAAAGTCCCTCACCTTAGTCCCCTGTTGCCGAAGAGAGGTCAATTCCCTGAATTTCATAATCCGTTCGTATTGCGGACATGATGAAGGAAAGACTGGTGGTTCCTTTGAATTCTTCCTCCGCTGAGTCCTCATGATGGCTCGTTCGTTCTGTCACAGGTGCGTTGCGGAGAATGGAGCGAGGACTCAAATGCAGAGGTGAAAGCCTTTAATTAAGTAAAACATAAATCAAACAAAGGAAATCCAGGTTGATAAACTAATTGCTAAATCCAGAAACACGACATGGCAGGAACGGAACAACACACAACTCAAAATCCCAAGTAACATAAACAACGAACGAGCACAGGACAACAAACACAGGAAGACTAAATAGGGAGGCAAACAAAGGAGGGTAACGAGGCTGACAGGTGGAACAAATAAACCAATAACCAGATAACAAGGGGGAGGGATCAAACAATGACAAGAGCACATGGCTCAAAATAACAAAACACCCATGTGCATCACAAGACAGGACAGACATGTGACACTGTGACTTTGTGTAATTGTGTTGTGTCTTAAGGACTGTCCCACAGGTGCATTTGCAATAATGGTTTATGGTTCAAGCATGAAAAACATAGTTTAAATTTAAACCATTTCCAATAAAGATCTGTAACGCTTATTTGGATTTGACAAAATTATCTTTAAAATACAGTATCCTGAAAAAGGGGACGTTTCTTTTTTGCTGAGTTTATATACATAAATACACACACTGTATATGTATATCTGAACATGGGAGTGCATTAACATTTTTAAAAGTAACAAGTATGCTTGTACATTGCAGTTGCTGGACTTCTACACGGTGGTGTCTCAGATGTTGGGTGTTGACTGCACAGGCTGCGTGCCAAACTATGAAGTTCTCAGAAGGCTGGAGGTTCTGACCCAATCACGTCACTGTACTGCTCATCTACACCAGCATCATACGCCTCGCATCTGGGAAAGTCCAGTTTCCTCCATAAACGTTGCTCATTCTCATGAGTTCAAACCCCAGGCTCTGCCAGCTCCCTCTAGCACATCATCCGAGAGACCAGCGGCCCACGGTGATAATAACCTGCAGTTATAGATTACTGTTCATCCTACTGTAGCTGCACAGCCGGCATATAATGTGGATTCTGGAATCCCGAACACGCTTCTTAACTAGCCTAACCTGCACAATTTCCTTGGTTAAACAGCTTTAGCAACATGGCTACACAAGTCCACCAGCTAGACCAGCACCAAACCAGCTGGTCTAAGGTTGTTTCAGAAGGTCAATAAATATTTCAGTGTGCCAGTTAACACCTGCTACTGCTAGTAGATTATTTAACTTTACCTTTCTGGGAACAAAAAGTGTTTATATATATATAAACATTCAAAAGTAGCTGTTTATTTTGAGAAAAGGGCTAAATGAATTGTTTTACCATGTTTGTTGTGAACAATATACCACCTAATGGAAGTATGCTGACAATTGATGGCAGTTTAATACAACCCTGTGAATATTATGTGCAAATCAGTTAAATGTTTAAGCAGAAATTTCTTTTGGTAAGAAAATAATTATGATTCACAATTAAACTACCGTCATTTAATCTTTTATTTTAATGAAAAATACTAATCAGCAGTATATGTGTATATCATATGTGTGTTTTCATTGCGAAGGTTTCTCAGGCCTTAGCAAACTGTACATACATAAATATCTTTTTCTTTGATATCAGTGGTTTACATATAGTAAAGCATATTTATGACAGTTAACTTGAATATTAGAGCAGGTTAAGTTAAAATCAACAACAAATTCAATGAAATCAATGATCGTTTTAAAACCAAAGGATGACCACATGCCAAAAATACATATAAAAAATAATTGCAATATAGAGTTAATAAATTTATCTTCTCTTTTTTTTTTTTACAAGTTATTCCAGCAATTCCACACATTTCAGTTTTTTTTGTTTTTTTTTTTCAATAAACTCGATCTTCCCGTGATTAAAAAAGGCCTTTAGACCTGATTAACTCTTCCGACAGTCCCAGTGTTGAGTCCTACGCTCTATTTTCCTCCCTCAGGTCAAATATGGAAGAACATCAGTAGCACTAACAACACCTGACTGCAGTTTTCAGTGCAATAGGCTTTGTTCAAACATTTACACGAGACTCAGTGACGTACTGTAAAATTAGCAGCTGTACAAGGACACAATAATAATTCACTTTGGCTGCCAAACTCTTAATGATGTAATTTGCCAATTTGGGGAGAAACCCAATGCTGAGCTGGCGTTACTTCATAGTGGAGGTCATATGGGCGGAGGCCCGTTGGTGTAGCTGAGCATGGGGTGGAAGGAGCGGGCGAAGTTGTTGAGTTGGGCACAGCTGTAGTCTTCCTCAGACGTAGGCACGAGACAGGCCACGACCACCACCAGCAGCAGGATGATCTGCAGGGGTAGAGCGGCCCACAGGACACGCTTCAGGAAGCTTTTGCACCAGGACGGTGGTTCTTCCTCCTCAGAATGGGAGGAACCGGATCCAGCGGCGTTGCGAGACCTGCTAAACACAAGACGGCACAAAGAGGTGGAAATGCTCAGATGCAAAACTAGGTGAAAAAGACCAATGACATTTGTTGATTTCTAAAACTAAATGGATTTTTGTGTAGATTCACATCTATAGTTCCTCCCTAAATAGGCTTTCATATTTATTGGATGGAATCATTTCTCCATTCATATATATGTCTCTGTCTGTTATATTTGGAAACACATTAGCTGGCCAAGCTTGACACAGATAAGAGTTAGTTTGAAATCTTCAGTAGCATTTAAAAGCAAAAGGGACATGTTATTCTTTATACTGTAAATATGCCTTTTTGTCAAAGCGTTGTTAAACAGACGGAATGGTAACAGAAAAAAAGCACAGCTCAACAATTTTCAGTTTAAGGCAAAGAGATTTCCTTAAAGGATAGTTCACCCAAAAATAAAATTCCGTCATCATTTCAAACCTGTATGAGTTTTTTTTCAATCAACCAAACAGTTGAAGGGCCCCATTGACTTCCATGGTATATTTTCCCCCTACTATGGAAGTCAATGGGGTCCATCAACTGTCTGGTTACCAACATTCTTCAAAATATCTCCTTTTGTGTTCAGCAGAAAACAAGTCATTCCTACAGGTTTGAAACAACTTGTGGGTGAGTAAATTATGAATTTTCATTTTTGGGTGTACTATCCCTTTAATATCTGTGTGGGGGTGCTGTGGCCTGATGGTTAAAGAAATATGCTGGATGAAACAATGTTTTATGTTTGAACCCAACGAGGTGCAATCCATGAACGATCACCAACTCTGAGCAAGATACAGACAAACTGACTGTAATAACAAGTTGATTTAGTTACAAATGACTGTAATAATGTTCATTTAGACTTCCTTGAAACACTAATCACTCATAGAAAGTGACTAGAAATGCAAATAACTCTTTAAATAGCTTTAAATAATTGAATCCAGCAGTTCAATGTTGCATTGATCTGAGAAGTCTCCAAAATATAGAACAATATTATTTCATTATCTATCATTCTGCGCAAACTCATTTTTCTTTATATGATTTTGAATATTGTACTGAGTTTGATATTTCTCAATTGTATATACTAATCCTGCAATGATCTTAAAATAACAATTATCTTATTGTAAAAAATATTCAAGGCATGTTCCAACACTGAATGACTTTTTTTTTCTCTGTTTAATAATTATCTTTTACTAAAATATAAATGAAAACAAAATATTGTGAACATCCATCTTTAAAGGGGACATAATGGGATTACATCTCATATTAATGGGACAATAGTCTTTTTTATTATAACAATGTGGTCATTGCAGTGTGAATATGCATCTTTAAAGGGGATTTAATGGGATTATGTTTTATATTAATGGGACAATCTAAATCTAAACAACTATTTTATAATAAAAAAGAAAAATCCGTAGTTCCACCAACAAAACAACTATTTGTGAGTGACTAACTATTTTCAATGCTGGCATATAATAGGAAACCAGATTTCCGCTTCTTTTTAAAAAATCTTGAAATTTCACTATGCCTGAATACAAAACATCAGTTTGTGACTAACCACCTTTAATGCTGACATATCATGAGAAACGGGGCTTTCAGAACTGTCCCAGCAGCCGAGAACCACTGGAATATGTTATTGTGTGTTCTGACACCGAGTCTATGTACGGCACAGTGATGTGTCATCAAACTGCACGGACGGCAGATCGGAGGAGGGGGAAGATGATTGATTAGTCGGTGAAAGAGCAGATGTAACACACCAGAGAGAGAAAAAGAGAGAAACTGTAGCCAAGATTGTTCATTGCAGACGCTTGCTGAATAGACGAGAAAATGAACGGCTCAGCAGCAAAAGCAGCCTAGCGTATCCATATTTACAGCCAAGTATCAGATGAAAAATACATAAAACAAGCATGTTTTTTGTTTTTTTAAAGGTGTTGTGCCTGGTGCACGAGCTCCCTTCGTAGTGTCTATCTCAGCTCCCTAACCTGAGCAGTGTCTAGAATCACAGAAGATGATGGAAGTCATCAGCATGAGCCTTTCTGCGTGCATATCATGCTCAATCGCTGGGCCACTGCAAGGGTGGTCTGACAGGTTTGTAGGACACTGTCCACTTAGGGGTCAACCCAGACCCATTAGCGCTAGGGGCCTGCGGTCAGGTCATGGGTTGAGTTCCATTATCTTCCGAGTGTTCTAGAAACCAGGAGAAAGGTACCTGTGAAGTGGACTGCTCACACAGGCTCCGGGCTGTGACAGACTACTTTTGCCCCGTGGCTGTTTGCAATGAACAGGGGGGTAAAAGAAAGAAAGAATGTTTCAGTCCAGGCAAATAAAGACAAAGCTACTGATGAAAGAACCCAAAAAAGAAGAGCACCAACAAAATCAAATGACGGGGGGCGACAAAGAAACTGGTTCTTCGTGACACTGTTCTCAGAAAAAATGACCTCGCCGACAAGCGATCCTTTAATATTTTAAAAAGCTTTGAAGACTTTTTAAGCTCATTTCATGCATTTCTTCACAGGACAAATGGCTTGTTTTCTGAGAGTGACTCTCACAAAATCTGCGTGTCAAAGGTCATATTTAGTCCACCATTAAGATTTTTTTTGCCTTTCGATGTTATTTTGATAAGCAAGCGTATATTACCCACAAATTCTCGGTAACACTTTAGTTTAGGGTCCAATTCTCACTATTAACTAGTTTTTTATCATGCATATTACTAGGATATTGGCTGTTTATTAGTTCTTATAAAGCACATATTAATGCCTTATTCTGCATGACCATATTCTAAATCCCTTAATCCTACCCAATACCTAAACTTAACAACTACTTTACTAACTATTAATAAGTATTAATTAGGAGGCATACATTTACTGAGGCAAAATTGAATAGTTATTTAATATTGAGAATTGGGCCCTAATCTAAAGTGTGCCCAAAATCATTCATTATATTATATTCATTGTACAGTATGTACATTATAATGCAAAAAAAAAAAAAAAAATGAAGTAGCATAAAATTAAATATTATATTCTAATATATACAATATTATAGTATTATTAAATATTATAATACATATTATTTAATACAATATTATTACATTACAGTAATACTTTGTTAATTTATGTCATTTAAAATCATTGTATTACTGTGATGAGAATCACTAATTTACTAATTTAAAGGGAACGTGTGCTGAAAAGTCATGAAAATAATGTTGCAGTGCAAAAAGAATTGTCCAAAAAAGGCATAATATTCCTCATGCTAAATATAATTTCACACTTTCTTTTTTTTTTTTTTTGGTTAAATATGACCTGGACATTTCGTTTTTTCGTAGAACCAGTATTCCTTGAAGACTAAAGTGTGGGAATCTAGAATAAACATGAATGTGGGGAAATGAATAGAGAAACCAACCAAACCAGATTTAGGGGTGTGATACAGGTGTGACTAGTTGTTTTAAGGATGTAAGACGCACTTGGATCAATCAATGGGATGTGGAAACACAACAGGGATGAATCACATCTCCAGTCCTGATGCGGCTCTTGCATTAGAGGAGAGCATGCTGGGAAAGGTTCTGAGTTTTGGAGGAACTCTGAGCAATATGCTAA